TTTGCCATTTACAGGCTTAAATTCTTACACAATGATCCACTGAGATTTGAAAGGATCTGGGCTTTCAAGGGGGAGGAAAAGGGATCAAAATCACTGATTGGTCATTACAAGGACAAAGGTTAGTGACTTAAATATAGACATGCATTTAAAATTACTGTGTAATCATACTGTGTATAATTTGAATGATTTCAAGATGCATATAATCTGATTAAAAGAAAGTTGGTAATAATTTTAAAGGTTCAAATCAGATTTTCAAAGAAAAGAGGCTTACTGCAAACACAGTATCTTGCTACCTACAAACCTTTGCACAGAATTTCAACTACACCAAGTAAGGTTTGTTTAAAATAGTCACGGAAAATATGTCACTACAAAATACAGAAACAGCAATGTATATTTACCACATCCAAGTGACGAACAAATGAAATCTGTCAGATCTATACTGTTTACAATGTGCAAGATTAGAGAACAGAACCTAAACGGCAGGACTGAAAAGACTAAACCGAATGCCAGTGAAACAGAACAGCATGACATTTTCTGGTATACAACTAAATGTAAAAACACGTGAGATAGCTGTTTTAATCCTTTAGCCTTCAACTCTTCAGTGGTTTCACTTTTAATCCAAAATATCTAAATTCCAAGGCTTATACATAGAAATATATTAGTGGTCACATATAAAAACTGAGTAAGAAATTAAAAAGCAGATATACCCTTGTCCTTCCAATTTTTCTTCTGACCGTCCATCTCTTGTCACGATCTGCTTTGCAGCTCCAATTATTAATTATGCATACCAACAGAAAAGCTGTAACTGCACAAATCTACTCCCTGAGACATGAAATACCCGTTTCCTCAACCGAAGTCTGCAGTCTCCTCTGCTGCACAACTGCAGCAGAACTGAAGTCACCTGACGTCTTCTGGGTGTGGAACAGTCTGACGCAGTGCAATCTGTAACTAGGCTACTAATACTCCAGCATTAATGCTTTCCTTCTAACTGTTGATTGTTTTAGGCATTTGCCTTGTTGCTCATACCAAATGGAGCTACATTTGCAGGGAGAGGGCAGGTTACCAAAAGAAAGGAAATAAGGGTTGTTCTTAGAACTAACCACTGAATGTATTTGAAATGCACTTAAAGCCATATGCAGTTTTTTTCTTTCTTTTTTTTAACACATGGTCGAATTATGCTACTGGTTTTCACTTTCATTTGAAACTCTAAAATTGATGGTTACCTGATAAGATAAAAACGGACTGATCAAATAGTAATAGCCTACATTTCAAGCTTGTGAAATGATGTCTCCTTAATTGCTCCTAAGTTTATTAAGACATAAAACATTCAGCATTTTGCACCTTATGAAGGGATAAGCGGAAAATAAGTCAAATTAGCAATGTTTATTGAACATATTACTTGAACAGAAAACAGACTTCAATGTTAGCAACCTAATCTTCCTAATATCTTTTTTTCCTTTTACAATTATGGAAATTCAGAGACTTACAAACATACACTTACTCTTAATCATCACCTGCTCCAACTCAATCTTTCATTATTTATTAGGTATCACTACAGACACTATAAATAGATTCTTAGCTTGGGGAGATGTATTCACGGGCTAATGATACTATCTGCCATGAGAAAATGACATAAAAGCAAACTATAAATTTTATTTTTTATTTTTTTCTGACACAGAGTCTTGCTCTGTCACCAAGGCTGGAGTGCAGTGGTGCAAGCATGGCTCATGATGCAACCTCAACCTCCCAGGCTTATGCGATCCTCCCACCTCAGTCACCATAGGCATGTGCCACCATGCCCAGTTAATTTATTTTTTATTTTTACACTTTTTTTTTTTTTTAGAGACAAGGTCTCCCTGTGTTGTCCAAGCTGGTCACAAACTCCTGGGCTCAAGCAATTCTCCCGCCTCAGCCTCCTAAAGTGCTGGGATGAGCCACCACACATGGCCTAAAATTTTACAGAAAAATATAAAAACAAATCTATGTACAGCACTTTAAAAATCTGTGTTCAACTTTATAAAACTGACTTTCATTCCAATGCAGTGTCTCTAATTACGTTCCACAATCAATTTACCTGATACATATATCCACCTAAGCAGAAAAGGCAGTAACAGAGCAGCTCAAATATTTTAAAAAGGAATTTGCAAAAATACTGTAAGGTATGTAGCCTATGTACAAAAATACATACTTAAGACTGTATAACTACAATGAAATAGAGATATTTTTTGGAACCTGCTATCTGTGGGCTGCAAAATCCTTAATATCAGAAGTGGCTTGATATTAATATACACTCCTATTATGTACCCACAAAAATTAAAAACATCTAAGAGTTAAACATAGAAAGAACTAAAATTAGGAAAATGAGAGGGGAAAAAGGAAGTGGCTTGAATACCAATGACACATTTATTTCCCTATCTGCCTCTCTAACTCCAAACATAAATAAAGAAAAGTAATTTTTAAAAGAGCCCAGTATTCTCAGCTCAAGTTAATATTTAACTTTAAACTTTATTCACTGAACCCTTGCATAACGTGATATTTGAGAACCCAGTCATCAAGTCATATCATGGCCTGAAAATGTCTGGCCTCTTCACACAACATTCAGAATCTCTAACTATTTAGTAAATACAAAATACTAATTTTCTAATAACAAGTCCCTTAAAACTGAAAGCCAATAAATAACTAGCATTAGAATAAAATACTCAACTATAGTATTAAAACACTATTTTCAAGTCAGAGATTACTTCACTAGTAGAAGAAAAAAGATTTATTGTGATCAAGTTACTCGGCACTTAAGACTACTTGTATCTTCTGTGGTACTTGATTTGGCTTAACAATTAAAGAAAAAAGCCCGAGAGGGGCACGAATGTGTAATAAAACATACCCACTCATCTAAACATTAAACATACCTAATAGCACCTCTGGCAGATTAAAAAGTCAAAATAGGAGCCCTGAAGTTTAGTAAACATTTCAGCCTACATAATGACATCTACTTCTTTAATTTTTATGGGCTTTGTAAGTGTACAAGGAAAACTAGCTTGTGGAAATCAATTGACGTTTTGCCCAGTTCTTTCTTACGAAGTTTTTCAATTAGACTTGTTTTAAGTTTGGCAAGATAAGCAAAAAAGTGCTTAAATCTGAAAAACTGGTATGACACAAATTTGTTAAAAGATGTAAAGCTAGATGGGCTATGTTTATTGTGAAAATCATATAATCTCTACTAAAATAGAAGCCTTTAAGGACATTGCCTGACAAAAAGGAGGCACTATGTAAGTGCTATTTACTTACCAGTATGCTAAAAATAACAATCAAACTAAGAGACAACAAGACAAGTAAGGCACATCTAGGAAAGCTTATATATTAAGTCATTTAATTCTAGGCAATAACCCAATCTTTCTAAACAGAATTGCCCCCCTCTCATACACAAACTATTGTCCTTGCTGTATAGTTCTATTATTTTCCAGCTGAGAAAAATTTACATATGCATAGGTAATATGGTCCTACTCCACAATGAACCCCAACTTAACAAGTCAAAGAAAGGACATAAACCTGTTAAAAACTTATCTTCATTTATTTTATTTTCCTTCAACCACATAACTTTTTTAAAAAATTAAAACTTCTTTCAAGGACAATTTGTAAGTAGAGCACATATGTCCCAACTTGCAGAATGGCATTTTGATTATCTGATACAAGAACCTCTTTTCTCTAAAAAGCAAAGGCTCACAAAGGAGAGGCCACAGAAAACTCCTTTATTTATACTGCAAGCCAATAAAAGTGTTGTATGAATTCTAAGTCCTATTTCATATTGTGTGTATGTGGAGGGGAGAAGAGGAGGAAAGCATCCTCTTTTTCCTGAACTCAAAATCAGCTTTACACAGAACTTTTGCAATAAACTGTTCAAAGTTCATATTTGGCAATTTCCCACTCCTCAATGTCCATGTCCCCAGTATCCCCTTTTCCCAAGCATGACAAAAAAAATCAAAGATGAAAACTTCCCCAAGTACATATCCATAATGTCTTTCCAAAGGGTAATATGCTCTAAAATTACCTACATGGTTTCTCTGCTCACATCTCAAACCAAACTCTCTTTTCCTTAGTGCACTTACCTCTTAAGTAGGAAAATTACATGAATAAATCAATTCCTACTAACAAAAAACTCTTTTATGACCTCAGAAACTGTGTATGTTTTCTGGTGGGGTTTTTTTTTTCTTGGGATGGGGGGTGGTGGTATCTAACTGGCGAGATTTCAAACAGTAGAAAGTTGTATTTTAGATTTTAGAACAGGCAGCACTATGCAGTTGTTAAGTCCACCCCAGCCAGCTCTTATTCTAAGACATTCTTCCTTCTCCATTTCTTTCTACTTCTGCACCCAAGAAAAACTCAGGCTTTTGTTTTGCTTCGTTGCCTTTACAACATTTAGAGATGCAAGGGAAAGAGGGTGGGAAAGAAGCAATCTTTTGGATTGAAAATGCTACTCTGAAAGTTAAGACACTGCTTATGTATACTGCTCTTGAAAGCTAAAATAATTTCTACTTTCCAGCCACAGAAAACAGGCATTAAAAAAAAAAAAAAAAAGAAACAATTATAGCTACACAGTTGTTTTAAGCTTATTTCAAATTTTAACTATTCTGAGCTACTCAAAGGTATGATATTAACATGTTTCATTACTGAAATGAGTTAATTTTTAAAACCCTACCATACGCTGTAATATAATGCCCTCTATGGACTAAATTACAGCACTTCAACATTACTGAATTAAATCTTAAGAACTGGAAAAAGATTTTAGTCTAGAAAATGAATGACAGTACAAGTTAAAACAGCAAAACAACGAGCATTTTGAAGTTCATAAAAAATTTAACATAAGGTACCAAAAATGAATACTAATAATTCATAAACTGGAAGTGACACTTTTAATGAAAACTAATATGCTAACTTCTTACATTATAATCTAAAATATACAAATATTCTTAAATACCCAAAGCATTTTTAAAAATTTTTTATATAAAAATATGAAACACTTCATGAATTCTGTGTGTCATCCTTGTGCAACGGCTATGCTAATCTTCTCTGTATAATTCCAATTTTAGTGTACGTGCTGCTGAAACAAGCATGCTTTTTTTTTTTTTTGAGACAGAGTCTCACTCTGTTACCAAGCTGGAATTCTGTCATCAGGCTGGAATGCAGTGGCACAATCTCAGCTCACTGCAACCTCTGCCTCCCGGGTTCAAGTGATTCTCCTGCCTCAGCCTCCGGAGTGGCTGGGATTACAGGTGTATGCCACCAAGCCCAGCTAATTTTTGTATTTTTACTAGAGACGAGGATTCACCATGTTGGCCAGGATGGTCTGGATCTCTCAACCTCGTGATCCGCCCACCTCAGCCTCCCAAAGTGCTGGGATTACAGACGTGAGCCACTGCACCAGGCCTCAAGCATGCATCTTTAAATTCTGAATTCAAATAGTCACTAGGCTCTAAACAGATCTCCTTAAACTTTAATGTCTTCATTTAAGTATCCAGGTTTGGGGGGAATCTTTAAGGTCATTTCATAATGTTTACAGTAGTATGATGAAAGCATTTGTTTGATTTGGTACAAGATGTCAATATTCAAATTTGTTTATAAAAATTTTCAGCTCACCTGTTAGTGCAAAATAATATTCACAGCTCACTAAATTTCTCTGGCCAACTGACTTCATTCCACAGTCAATTATAGATCATTCCACAGACTTGATTTTCCATCTACAACACTAGATGGCACCAACACCCATAGTCTACAGTTGATTGTCCAATTCATGGAAGGCAATCTGGCAAACATTAACTTTCTGGCTTTTCCATAAGATTGTTGCCTGGCACTAGGGAGCTAGATCAGAGTATGGGAATAGGAAAACAACTCTAACACCAAAAAAATAAGTGGGGTAAAATAATCTCTAATCAGAATCCAAAGTCAATTTTAAATAGATCAGAATTAAGTGTAAAATTAAAACTATAAGTAAATAATGTATTTTCCTTTGTGAAAACTGAAAATGTCCACTGAAATGTAAACTAAAAATCTTTTAGAAAACTGAGGGAAAACTAACACAAGAGTTGACATCCTTTATATGTAAAAAACTCTTAGAAAAAAATGAACACCTAAATTTAAAAATGGGCAGAGTATGAACAAGCAAATTACAGAAAAAATAAACTGCCAACATGTTCACATCCACTAATAATCAAAGATCAAAAAAGCAAGATACTACTTGCACCTATCAAACTGGTAAAAGGCTTTTAAAAAATACCAAGTACAGGCCGGGTGCGGTGGCTCACGCCTGTAATCCCAGCACTTTGGGAGGCCGAGACGGGCGGATCACGAGGTCAGGAGATCCAGACCATCCTGGCTAACACGGTGAAACCCCGTCTCTACTAAAAAATACAAAAAACTAGCCGGGTGAGGTGGCGGGCGCCTATAGTCCCAGCTACTCCGGAGGCTGAGGCAGGAGAATGGCGTGAACCCGGGAGGCGGAGCTTGCAGTGAGCTGAGATCCGGCCACTGCACTCCAGCCTGGGCGACAGAGCGAGACTCCGTCTCAAAACAAACAAACAAACAAACAAACAAACAAAAAAACCAAGTACAGACTGTCTGGAAGAATACTTAAGGAACAAGTCACAGCAGGTAACTCTAGGAAAGAGCACTAGGCAGCTGGACAACAGAGAGAGGAAGTCTGACTGTGACTGTACTTTCTGAATTTTGTATAATGTAAAAATATTATCTATCAAAAAATAAACAATATGAATTGGTGAAAGTAGAGAAATGGGTGTTTTCTTATACCCTTCTGATATAAGGGTAAAAATTAGTACAACTTTTTTTGTGGCCAATTTTTGTAGACACCCTTATAAATGCTCATACCCACTAACCTAGGTTTTTATTTCGAATTAATTTATGGAAAATAATTCAGGGATATGTAAAACATATTTAAATATAAAGAGGTTAACAGCATTATCAATAACAAAGGAACAATCTAAGGGTCCAACAATAGCAAAGTGACTGGTTAAAATATATCCATACTAAGGAACACTAAGTAAAAAAATCAGCAGCAGAATATTTAAAGACATGGAAATGTTTGCATTATATAAGACATCGCTCAAGTTTTTAAAAGCTTATAAACAATATATAGAATATGATTGAAATTTCATAAAACACTATTACATTCTTAAAAATACACATATGCGGCCAGGTGCAGTGGCTCATGCCTTTAATCCCAGCACTTTGGGAGGCCAAGGTGGGCAGATCACTTAAGGTCAGGAGCTCGAGATCAGCTTAGCCAACATGGTGAAACCCTGTCTCTACTAAAAATACAAAAATTAGCCGGGCATGGTGGCCCACATCTGTAATCCCAGCTACTCAAGAGGCTGAGGCACGAGAATTGCTTGAACCCAGGAGGCAGACGTTGCATTGAGTACAGATCCCGCCATTGCTACTCCAGAGCCTGGGTGACAGAGCGAGACTCTGATTCAAAACCAAACAAAAAATCACATGTGCATTGAAAGTAGACTAGAATAATATATTCTAAAATATTAACATTGATTATGTCTGGGTAATATGATTACAATTTTTTTCATCTCAAAGATTTTCTGTATTTTTCAAATTTGTACAATGAGTGTGTACTGTATATCAGACTGCTTCATAAACTGTTGCCCTAACTTCACTGATAGTTATCAAGTCCTTAGAAAAAATCCTTATTACTAAAATATTGAAGCTCGAGTACATTAAAATATTTGCCAAGGGTCATACAGCTAAATCAGTGAAAGGGTCGGAATTAGAACTCAGGTCTGTAAAATGCCTAAAATTAAGCTTTTTAAACCACATTATATTTAGCAGGTATCTATCTTTTATGGTACATATTTATTTTCAATCTGTTTGGGACCCAGAGTAAGCGCTAAATAAATCCTCACTAATTTAACAATATCACTTTTAAAAAAGTAAATATAATCGTTTCCTTTATTAACAATAGTCAGGTTCTACTTTAGCTACACTGTACATCTATTGATAGCCTTCCAGTTAAGATTAACTACTTATTATAGTAAAGTCCAACTTACATGAAAATTTTCCAAATATATTTGCTCAATAAAAATGTATTTTAAACAAAATATCAACTCTTAGTATCTACAGTACTTCACTAAATTACAGTACTTCAGTAAATTATGAAACTACTGAATTATGAAATTCAGTAAATTATGAAAATGTGCTAACTTCTTACATTATAATCTAAAATATACAAATATTCTTAAACACCCAAAGCATTTTTAAAAATTTTTCATATAAAAAGATGAAACACTTCACGAATTCTGTGTCATCCTCATGCAGGGGCTATGCTAATCTTCTCTGTATAATTCCAATTTTAGTGTATGTACCGCTGAAGCAAGCATGCTTTTTTTTTTTTTTTTTTTTTTTTTGTTGAGACAGAGTCTCGCTCTGTTACCAGGCTGGAATTCTGTCATCAGGCTCAAAGGCTATATATACTTTTTAATAAAAAAAAATATTTTAAATCATAAGAATATCAAAATAATTCTTATTCATGAACATATGTAAGTTCTTATTCATGAACATATGTAAGTTTGAAAAGCATAATTTCGTATATTTACCAAGACAAACAAGCCCTTTTAAAGTGAGTTATCATGGTAATACTACTTGATGAATCCTGGATATTACATAGTTTAATTATAATGAACAAATAATCCACATATGGTCGGTTTACACTTCACTTACCAATAGTTCTGATGAGTTCAGCAAGATACAATCTATATTTCGAATGTGAACTAAAAATATTCTCTGTGCATTAGTGACAAGCAGCCAACAAACATATATTAAGTTATCATTAAGTCAAGATCTCAGCAGTTTGGACAGGAGACATGAGCACCTTTCTGTACCAATGGCCTACTAACATAAATAGATAGCAGTTGTCCAAAGTAGGGTTTTTCAGTCTCTACATACTAGCAACAGAATGTTACCCTAGTTCCAATATCCCTACATATGGAAGAGTATGTTAGAAAATGTAGATGGCAACCAACTTTCTTGACATCTTAAGATGTCAAGAAATGTCTTACATTGCCTAATGGTTCAACACAACAGGTGTGTGATAAAAGCAGCAGCACCTTGATTGCTTGCTAAAGTTAGGACAATGACTGCTTATTCCAAAACCAGGAAATAACTGTGAATGGACAAAACCTGGGTTGGAATCGCAGTTCATTCTTGTGAAACTAGGTAACAACTAATATAAATAAGAAGTTAACCCAATGTCTGAAACAAGGCAGAAGCTCAAAACATTGTGCTTATTACATAATTTACCACGTATCTTTGAAAAAGTTACTTAACATCCTTAGGCTTAGATTTATCACCTATAAAATGGTTCCTTTTTTTTTTTTTTTTTTTTTGCTCTGTCACCCAGGCTGGAGTGCAGTGGCCGGATCTCAGCTCACTGCAAGCTCCGCCTCCCGGGTTTACACCATTCTCCTGCCTCAGCCTCCCGAGTAGCTGGGATTACAGGCGCCCACTACCTCGCCCGGCTAGTTTTTTTTTTTTTTTGTATTTTTTAGTAGAGACGGGGGTTTCACCGTATTAGCCAGGATGGTCTGGATCTCCTGACCTCGTGATCCGCCCGTCTCGGCCTCCCAAAGTGCTGGGATTACAGGCTTGAGCCACCGCGCCCGGCCAAAATGGTTCCTTCTTATAGATTATGGTGAAGACCTAAATGAAACAAATATGTGAAAACTGCTTTGTGTTTAGAAGATGTTCCATAAATGATAGTCTTCCCCTTCCAGGTAAAATGAGAAGAATTCAGCTTTTCTCAACACTTTAAAATTCTCAGTTAAAAATCTAAAATTGGGAGAAAGAAAATCTAGAACTGAAACAAATGAAGCTAATTGTATTTCAAATGAATATCTTAGCCATTAGTCAGTGGGAGACGGAAGGAGGGAAAAGAAAAAAGAACGAACTAATACAAGTAATCTGTGAAGAATGTATTTGACTGTACACATTCCACTTTAGGCAGGGTTGCGGAGTAGGGACTTGCAAACAATCCAGAACTCTTTTATCAAGTTTTTAAAATTATAGTGATATGAAAAAAGAATTCTAGGCCGGGCGCGGTGGCTCAAGCCTGTAATCCCAGCACTTTGGGAGGCCGAGATGGGCGGATCACGAGGTCAGGAGATCGAGACCATCCTGGCTAACACCGTGAAACCCCGTCTCTACTAAAAAAATACAAAAAACTAGCCGGGCGAGGTGGCGGGCGCCTGTAGTCCCAGCTACTCGGGAGGCTGAGGCAGGAGAATGGCGTAAACCCGGGAGGCGGAGCTTGCAGTGAGCTGAGATCCGGCCACTGCACTCCAGCCTGGGCGACAGAGCGAGACTCCGTCTCAAAAAAAAAAAAAAAAAAAAGAATTCTAAAACTCTTATAGGTGTATTAAAGGATTGGATATAAATAATGTATTGGTGGTCTTAGGAACCAGGGTTCTCACTATAAAAGAAGAGACAAATATGAAATAAGGAAAGAACAAAACCTGTGAGAATGAATTAGAATCAGAGGTATCTGTGTGAACTCATTTCTTATGAATGTGTGTATGTTTATGTGTATGTATGTATATAAGCATTTCCTAGCTTTATCCACTGAAAGGTTAAAATGGAAAAGATCCCCACAGTAGCAATGACCACAACTGGCATCTAGCTTTTGATCTTTAATACCTCACTATTATGAAAATGACCTCTCACTCTACATTAAAAGGAATCGGGGATCCTTGGAGAAATTGCTGATTCCAGGGCTGGGACACAGCATAAAACAGGCCTACAATATTTTGTTAGGCTAGAAAGTAAGATGTTCCCCTCCCAACCCCAAAGAAAGAAGGTTGCATGTCCCTGAGCCTACCTGAAGGAACCCTCAAAATATGGAATAATTTACCACCAAAATAATAAAGTTCAGTAATGAATCATAAACCATTGGAAAGAAAATGGAAATTCATGGATCCATACTGATAATTAATCAGCTAATTAATTCATTAATGGAAATGGGGGTCTGTTGCTTAAACAGGAATGCTGAGGGTCAACAGAAAAATGTACAGGGAGTAATGGGTTAAAAAAATCATTTTTCAACTCTCATGGTAAAGACTGGATCAAGCAAGAATCATCAATGGTTTACTAAATCGGGGGGCAAATTTTGATAGGGAGTGGGATATCTGCATGCGTTCAAGTGTCACTCCTCAGACTGCTTATTATCTGTAAGGGAGAAACAAAGACAGTAATTATACGATAAGGAAATCAGAACCCATCTTGCCCAGATGGTCAAAATTAACATAACCAGTGAGGGACTGATGAATAGCAGGTAATTCTAGAAGTGGTGCTATGAGAGGGACACATCACCATCTATACAGTAAATGAATTCATAGCCTCAAATTAATCACTAGGAAACATCAGATAAATCCACTATGAGGAATGTTCTATTATAAAGGGGGGGAAAGAGAGGCCCTGTGCTCTTTAAAACTGCCTCAAACAAATTTACAAGAAAAAACAAACAATCCCATCAAAAAGTGGGCAAAGGATATGAACAGACACTTCTCAAAAGAAGACATTTATGCAGCCAACAGACACATGAAAAAATGCTCATCACCACTCGCCATCAGAGAAACGCAAATCAAAAACCACAGTGAGATACCATCTCACACCAGTTAGAATGGTGATCATTAAAAAGTCAGGAAACAACAGGTGCTGGAGAGGATGTGGAGAAATAGGAACACTTTTACACTGTTGGTGGGGCTGTAAACTAGTTCAACCATCGTGAAAGACTGCGACGATTCCTCAGGGATCTAGAACCAGAAATACCATTTGACCCAGCCATCCCGTTACTGGGGATATACCTAAAGGATTATAAATCATGCTGCTATAAAGACACGTGCACACATATGTTTAATGCAGCACTATTCACAATAGCAAAGACTTGGAATCAAACCAAATGTCCATCAATGACAGACTGGATTAAGAAAATGTGGCACATATACACCATGGAATACTATGCAGCCATAAAAAAGGATGAGTTCATGTCCTTTGTAGGGACGTGGATGAAGCTGGAAACCATCATTCTCAGCAAACTATCACAAGAACAGAAAACCAAACACCACATGTTCTCACTCATAGGTGGGAACTGAACAATGAGAACACCTGGACACAGCAAGGGGAACATCACACACAGGGGCCTGTTGTGGGGTGGGGGGAGTGGGAAGGGATAGCATTAGGAGATATACTTAATATAAATGATGAGTTAATGGATGCAGCACACCAACATGGCACATGTATACATACGTAACAAACCATCACATGGTGCACATGTACCCTAGAACATAAAGTATAATAATTACCAAAAAAAAAAAAAACTGCTAATGTTATAAAAAATAAAGACTGGAAATGGGAAGTCCTACCCAGAGCAATTGGGCAAAAGACAATAAAGGATATCCAAATTAGAAAGGAGGAAGTCAAATTGTCCCTGTTTGCAGATGACATGATCTTACATAAAGAAAAACCTAAAGACTACCAAAACCTTGTAAATTCTGTAAAGTTGCAAGATATAAAATCAATATACAAAATTATTGCACGTCTATACACAATAAACTAGCTGAAAAAGAAATCAAGTAGGAAACTCTATTTGCAATAGCTTAAAAAAAAAAAAAAACACCTTGGAATAAGTTTAAGGAGATGAAAGACCTCTATAAGGAAATCTACAAAACAATGATGAAAGAAACTGAAGAGGATACAAACAAATGCAAAGAAAGACATTCCATGTTCATGGATCAGAAGAGTTAATATTGTTAAAAAATGGCCATACTAGGCCGGGCCTGGTGGCTCACGCCTGTAATCCCAGCACTTTGGGAGGCTGAGGCGGGCGGATCACGAGGTCAGGAGATCGAGATCATCCTGGCTAACACGGTGAAACCCCATCTCTACTAAAAATACAAAAAAAATTATCCGGGCATGGTGGTGGGCGCCTGTAGTCCCAGCTACTCGGGAGGCTGAGGCAGGAGAATGGCATGAACCCGGGAGGCGGAGCTTGCAGTGAGCTGAGATTGCGCCACTGCACTCCAGCCTGGGCGACAGAGAGAGACTTCGTCTCCCCGCCACCCCCCCCAAAAAAATCCTTATTACTAAAATAATTAATTTAAAATAATTAAGTAATTTCAAAATATACTACACAGTTGAAGTAACCAAAACAGGATGGTACTGGCATAAAAACAGCAACACAGACCAATGGAACAGAATAGATATAACCCAGAAATTAATTCACGTATCTATAGCCAATCAATTTTTGGAAAAAAAAAATGCCAATAACATTCATTGGGGAAATGCCAAGAACATTCATTGATATTACTGAGAAAAAAAATCAGT